TGCCCTCTTCCGATCCAAATGCGTGCTCGTTAATCACGCACAGTCAAGATTCTGAACTGCATGTTCTGTTATTGTGATAAATTTCAACTCATTGCGGGTCTTTCTTCGTTATTGGTTTTGGATTCGACCTCGCAACTCCATTTTTTTCGGATTGAAATACCCAGGATTTCTTTTTGTTTTTCCTCCTACATGAGAAAGATGAGCTGAGAGCACTCCCCGATGATTTGGTTGATCTGAATATGGTAGTTCTCTTGTCACGCTTGTGGCAGAAGGATGGAAGCATCCGGGAATAAAAGTTTAAACTTCTTGCTTTCAGTTGCTAATCTTTCGAACAAGGCAGGCATATCATATTGGCCGAACCACCACCTAGCACACCACAGGAACGGTCCCCTTCCAACCTCGCGATGATAAATCAGCTCCACGAAAAAGAGCTTGATGAGACTTGCGCAAAAGAGCTTGATAAGAATTGACGCGCGCCGGCCCCCACCACCGAATACGCATGGGACAAAAGGGAAGACAAGAACCCATAATCTTGACACAGGACTAATTTTTACATTCCATAAAAAATTAATTTTTTTTATTAAAATTTAATTTTTTTATATATGTTTATAAAACAAAATTTATTAAAATTTATTTTTTTATTTATTTTTAATAGTTATTTTGGTGTCTTAACCTCAAAAATATTTTTTTAAAAAAAAATTTAATACATTACAATACATAAAACATTTTAAAAATCAACATAACACACTCCCGGACAAAACAAGCACTAACGCGTGTGGATAGTGGTGGGGGCGAGGTGACGATTGCACGCTAGTAAAGTTACCATGCAATTTTTTCCAGATATACAATATAGACTAGGGAAGGGAGAACAACAGAGTTCTGCCGGCCTATTAATATGTTTTTATTTTTAAAAAAATTATTTTTAATTTTAATATATCAAAATAATTTAAAAATATAAAAAAAATTAATTTTAAAAAAATTAATTTTTTTCAAAAATGTTTTTCAAATACAAAAACAAACAGAAAGAGGCTGGCACCAGCAGCATAGAGCATGATCTTTTTCACGAACAAAATGAACAACCTGAAAAGAGGGCATAAATAAGAATGGGATGTAGCAATTTATCCAGTGCATTCATAAATAAAATTACAGATTGCATTGGAGAAGTGGTAAATCCCCAAGAAAATCCTCCTGCGGATAGAAAGCCGTAAAAACTCTTCCATTATGTACACAGTAGGCCAACCATCCAACCCAGTCTTCAAAAGGGTTTCAGTTCAAATAAATATCATCTCGCTCACTTGAGCTCTCACTGGACAATTTTAAGAAAACTTACAACACGCCCAATGGCGACTCAGGATAAGCCCTTAAAATTAAATGATACTTGCTGCCAAGCAGACATTTCCCTAACAAAATCAGAAGTCAAATTCCCCTGTTGCCTGCAAAAGAAAGCCAGAATTTCAACAATAACTTTTGGAATTTCAGTATAATACAGAACCAAATTGTAACATCGATCATGAAAGAAAAACCATCTACAATTCGGTGGAACACAGACCTTGTTAAAGAGAATGTCCCTGTTGTTTATGTGCATAACACCATCCTTGAGCGTGCATTTCCACCTGCTCTTGGTACGAGTCACCTGTCCATGCAAGAAAAATTTTATTCTCAGAAGACCAGCATCATTGATATGTACAACTAAAATCAGCTTGTTATGGGGTACACTCCTGGTCAAACAAAATAGGCAAGGGTGAAAAACAAGAAGAGCGGATGTTTACCTTGTCAAATTGAGCTAAAATCAAATGCTGTGTGTTCAGCTCCTCTCCTTGGTCCACACCATCCAGATCCTCGTCGTCGTCGTCATCTTCATTCAGTGGTTCATCATCGTCATCATCTACATCATCATTTTGACTGACAACAGCTGGGGTACTTGCCTGTAAATCTGGGAAGGGGAAAAGATGAAAACAAAAAACAAATACATTAATTATAACAAGCCTACTCACCAAGTTTATCAATTAGAAAAAGAATGACAACCTTCATCGCATATTTCATAAACTTACCATTGGGAGCTGGTGTGTTTGCATTATTGTAATCTTCATTAGCAACTCCTTGATAATTGTATATCTTCAACAGAAAAATAAAATACAGAAAAATTAGAAAGAAACAGTAATTGTCACACCCTAACCTCTGGAGAAAACATGATATCCCTTACTCAAGTTCCAAAAAAGTCATTAAAGCAATGAAGTTATAATCTCAACAACATAGGACCCCTAATACGATTTCAGAGACAGTCATCCTGCAGTACATTAACTGGAAGAGGCTGCTCTCAAGACCTGAACATCACCCTTAAAGTTGCAAGTCAAGAGCATTTAATAGCGCTGACCAATTTTTAACCATCATTTTCCAAATACATGCTCAGAGAGCAATGCTATTTAGTATTTGATCAGCGTGAATCAGCTTGTGGGAGTTACAGTCATCCTCATACTTACAAGCAACCTTATAAACCAACCATGTATAGAAATAGTCAACTTGGTCCATCATCCCAGCCCCATAGCTTAGATATAAACATGGAAGGGATTCTGGTTTAGCCCCATAATCTTTCAATAATATCTTACTAGGTTCTAGCCATGTTCAGTTAAACATTCTGAGCCAACTGTATGCCTTGGCATGCATATTTCCAAGAATCATAGATACATAATGTAAACTACTGTAAAAACAAAAAGTTGCAGTGTCCAAATTTCATAAAATCACTGCAAACAATGACGCTCATTATCACTTATGATATTGCTATTTTTCTCCTCAAGACAGGGTTCACAGACAATATATTTGTAGGTATCTAAAGGCATGATTTTACATGTGGGCACGCACAAACCATGTGAAAACCATCTTCAAATCACAGCTACCTGATGCTAATTCAGATTAATGGTCTCCAAAATGAGGTGAGTGATGATAAGACAGATTGTACATCACATGATCCAAGAACCAGGAATGAGAGGGTTTTTCCATTTTTTTCCTTTGCTGGGTAAACATATTATATTTCTCATTACAAGATATAGGATCAGGAAATATATGATCCTATACTGACCGGGCAATACTGGTAACCCTTCACAGGGCAAGAAACACTGGAAATCAGATGAATAAAAAAACATCATTGGGATAAGGAGAGATGCACAGCAGCACTTCGCCAACACGTGCATAATTCTAGAACATGAAACTACATTGAACAGATACTTGATTGCATGTTTATATTTCAAGAAAATTACAAAAGCATCATACATTGGGAGTTGAAAGCATGTCATCATAAGGATCAGGAATGGGCCCATCCACTTGAGGAATCTTCAAATATGAACTCGACACTCGTGCTAAGATCTCTCTATTTTTAGTTGTGATAGTGTCACATCTGCCATGGGGATTGTTCCCTTGGCTTACCTGAAATTTACCGTTACATAAGCTAAAGAAATAACAAGTTTATGAAATCATGTAATAGAGATGAGCAGTTTAAATGAACCATAAATAATCCACTCTTAGGCTAGCATACATTTGGTTTACAAACAAACTAAAGATCGAGTACTTGAGATAAACTGCAGCTTCCAAGCATATCAACTCCTAGCTGCATTGAACAATCGATTACCATATTTTCAGAAAGGCCAGAGTCCATGGAAGAACATGAAAACTCACCCTCCACCAAAAGATAATGAATTGGAACACCAAAATAGAACAGTCTTTGGTGTATTCTAAAGTTGCAAGTTTTAACCAGGACATGTGAAACAAAATAGCATAACTGCAGCAGTAAGACTTAATTTGGTTACAGAAAACCATGCTATGTCCTTAAGGTTAGAAATCATGAGACCATCAGCATTTCACACATATAATAGTTAATGATGCTGCTGGACAGTATTTATCCAGGGCAGTCGTTAATGACGTGATAGATAGTATCCATCCATTCTTCACTTGACCTAATTCAAATATGTAGTCAACAATGCCCATTTATTATATGGTCATCAAACTAATTTACAGAAGCTGGATAAATCAAAAATATTTCGTTCAGCAATATCACATGAAGAGGGGGGAACAACTGTGGTGGCAGTGAAGCTAAAACTGGTGCAACTTAGAAGTGGTGGATCACAATAGCATTTTAAGGACCAATAGAAGAAATATATTTTTACATTTCATATTAAGAATAGGCAATAGATTCATGGTGGAAGATATATCAGCAGTTAATTTTTCTTTTCCAGTTGAAATGGCATCATTGCAACAGTTGATAATTCTATTGGCAGAAAGAAAATACTTTGGAAATAAACTTTAAACTGGAGTAGTCAGAATGGAAAACATAAGCATGATCGCCAAGATGTAATTGGTCTTATTTAATTGCTTGTCCATAGGAAAAAGGAACTGTCATAGCTACATTAACATCCAGATCTTATGAAAAGCTAATGCAATGGTACATTTTTACGAGTAAGAAACCATTAGAATGCATTACATGCTAACATTTAAAGAGATCTTAGATCCCTTAATAACTATAAACACGTGACTTTTCCATTGACCATTTCAGTTAAGAAACCGAGAGTCAATGCCATGGGTTGAGCCACTATCCTATTCACCATGCCTGCAATTAAATAGTTTCCTAGAAGTGATCCAACAAAAACTTTCCCCAGTTAAGTGAAGAAATGTTTCTCGAATGATAAAACTTTTTCATAAAACAGGAAAATCCATGGTTCTCACATGGCATACATGAATAAAGAAATGCAGAAAGAACTGTTATTAGAACAGAAGCACTCCACAAATAAAATTAAGAAAACCAAGCAATAACAGACCAGGAAACAGCAGTTTTAGACAGATATTCAGAAGTTTTGTAATAGGAAATTCTCTTCGATGAAAATATTGCTTCAATGCACCTAAAAAACGATGAGAACATGGTAAGACACAAACTCTCTTTCCTGTAATGGTTTTAGCTATCATATTCAAAAAGCACTCAACATTAACTGAGTCAACAAACAAGCAAAAAGAACAAGTGGACTTAAACCTCACAAATCATTGCAAAATGAAGGGCGGCGAAATTCTATGTATCTTATTATCCACCTCTGGCTTATCAAGTGGCTTGACAACTCCAAAAGTTCTCCCCACAGAAGTCACACCTTAATATAACAATGATCTTCAGTTCAAGCTAGCAAAGAGAATAGAGCTTGTAGTAACCACAATTAACACATCTTAGACAATGAGTACCTGTTTGTTATTTTCTATTTGCTGGAGTAGGGCAGCATAGTTTAATTACAGAACAAACTCATCACAGATAGTTGATCTGAATTCAACCACATTAACTGAACATTGAGGTTAAATACATATGAAGCACTCAACTTTGTAGTCAACGCCTGCCTACTCACAAAACTCAACTTTAAAGTTTAGGATGCATAAATGCTCGGACACCTTTATGGAAAAGAAAGGTTTTCAAAATATGAGACAGTAGAACATCACTGAGTAAATTAAATACAATAGGAAAAGGAGGTCAACATTTTGCATGCCAGGAAGAAGCCAATAATAACTGTGAGTATTCAAGTTAACACATAAACAAATAAGAATGCATATTCAACTCAACCTGTGAAACCTCAGATGCAGAATCCACAGCTCCATCTTGCTGGGGTATGAATCCACCATTGTTAAATTTTGGAACAAAATCCCCGCGCTTCCGTTTTCCAGAAGACATGAAGAAGTCCTGGAATTTTCTCCAAGATTAAAACTGATAAGCTACTTCAGTGGCAACCATATGTTATCATTTTGGATGATAAAGGAATTGTTTCTGAAAATTAGCCTTCAGCCTCCAGAACCTTTTGTCCATGAACTCTCCTTGGATCATAAAACTACACAATACAAGCAAAAAAAGATACCTGTGTCAAGGTTTGATGAGAGGCTCCTCTGTCCACCTCATCCCGCCCTTCCACATAAGCTACAAACGCACAACATTTTATTAGTTAAAACCCTTCAAAGAAAAAAGTCACTAAACAAATTGCTCATGTGACATAAGACTTGCCAACATTGACATCAAGAGGTGGCCTTTGATGCATCAAAGTGGAAGGAGATTGCTGTTTGAAGACAAGAAGGAAGTGATCAGTGAGCATATCCATACCAAATAACAAATCTACATCAGTACGGCAAACTTCTGGTCACTAAGCTCCCATGAAAAAAAAGCAAAGAACACACACACCCCACATGTGCACTCATGCACATACAACATGCAAACCACACATTGAAATTAGTATCTGCTAGATGAAAAGGGCTGAAAGATCAAATCAGTGCTTACCATGAAATGGCTGGGTCTCCCAGCTTTTCCATCAGTACTGCCCCCAGCATCGCTAACAGGGGTGGGATAATCACTACTAGATCCAGTAGGAATGTTATACATGGATGAATTGTCCACACTACCAGGTAAAGGTGTCTGCACATTCCCAGGTAAAGGTGTTTGTGCACTTCCTGGCAATGGTGTCTGCATGGGGGTTTGCAAAGGTGTCTACGATTCCAAAAACCCACGTAAGAAATAGAAATTCCAACAGCCAAGAAAACTGAACTCATGAATCGCTTCAAAATTCACATACAAATAACAGATATCAAAACTGCCACCAACAATTACTTAAGAATTCAAAAACAGCTCAACTAAAATCACGATTTACCAGTACAAAGACTGGATAATGTGAAAAGAAGGTGTTTCCACTAGCTCATTTCAATTTCAGGTTCAGAGAATTCGAAAAAGTGCTAAAAACGAGTATACCAGCGGAATCACTTCACGAAATTCAGTATTAATGACAAGAAAATTGTTAAAAAAGCAAGTCGCAATTACTCACAGGAGGGAAGAGTATCTCAGCAGTGGGAGTCTCGTATTCCTCAGTCCCTTCATACGGTACATTAAGGTCGTGGACTGGAGTAAGACCACCAGGCACCGGTTGCTTATTAGCTGATGACCTCACTATTGAACCCGATAAAACACCCGCTTGCTTCAATTTCTTCTCCCAAAGCTAAAAACAAACAAAATCAGCAACTTTACAGGTCCCGTAGCGCGAATAAATCACAAATCTGAAAACCCCAGAACTCACAATAACATCAGATCCAACAAATTCACCAGTCAGGAAAAAAAAAAGTTTTGAGATTTGAAAAACCCTAAAAGATTAACAGCGACATTATAGGGGAAAAAAGAAAGAAACGGATAGGGAATGTTGATTACTCCTTGGAGCTCACTAAGGACAGTCTCTCCGGGACCACTGTTATTGATGAACTCATCCCGGATCTTGTCGATGACGTCTTCTATAACTTCGGTGTAAACGGTGCTTGTTGCCGATGACGCCATTCCTCTCCTCACAAATTTTTTAATCAAAATTGCAATTCCACTGATATTGGTAAAACTGAAGCCCTAATTAAGATGATTTAGGACATAAATCACATAAAATTTCGTTTTGGAAAGGGTAGGGGGTTTCTAGGGTTTGGGGAGGGAGAGAGGAGAGAGGAGAGAGTAGGGAGATTAGACGGACGAGAAAGCAGAATAAAGGGCGGAATATAAATAGGTTTGCATCCGATTTTATGGAGTGGGTCCACGTGTTATGATCTGCATTGGCCTTGATTTGTTTTGCCCGGTAAAGAGATAACATTTGATTTTATTTTTCCCACTCGCTCCCTCTCGGTCGCCTCCTTTCGTCAGTGCCAGTGCCCAGTTGTGTTGACCACTGATAGCCCAACTGTTTGAGAGATTTTTTAAAGTATTATTTATTTTAAAATATATTAAAATAATATTTTTTTTATTTTTTAAAATTTATTTATGATATAATATATTAAATTAATTATTTTTAAAAAAATTATTTTTAAAACATAAAAGTAAATATGCTCTCAATAATCATTCAATGACGGTTTTTTTCATTTTTCTTTTCAAGTTATTATAATAGAAATATGTTTTTTATGTATTTTTTAATATTTTTTATATTAACATATTAAAAATATCCAAACAAAACAATACTAAAAATGCTATTTTGTAATTTTTAAAAAAATTTAAAAAATACTATATTTCCAAGCATACCTTAATAAGTTTTTTTTCTTTCCTTTTTCTCTTATTGTATTTTTTTAGGTGAAGAAAATCATGACTTTATTTTTTTTAGCCACCCTTTCTCCTATTAATTTATAGCTTTGTACTTGTGATGAGGTTGCAAAAATCACTAAAAATATTTTTTGATGAATTATTCTTAAAGATTCTTTCACATTATTTATAATATGTTTTATGATTTTCACTTTAAAATTGTGCTTGCTTCTTTTTTAATAAATCTCATTAGTGGTGTTAATATCTTCCTTAATAAATACCTCCACAAGATTCCATGTAACAAAAGATATTACTCATTAGTGGTGTTAATATCTTTTTTAATAATGAGCTTCACAAGATTCCATGTAACAAAAGATATTAATAAAAATATTAACGAGCTTCACAAGAATGTAACTTCTATAAAGATAGAAAAGAAAAAAAGAGATAAAATGTAGAATTAAAAAATAAACAAAGAATGTATTTTTGTTCCAGAGTATAAGGTTTTAAACCTCTTTCTGTATATTTCACTCATCTTTTATATTACTTAACTTGACCTGCTTCATACAATATAAAAGAGGTAAAGATATAATCTTATAATAGTAAAAATAATATTATTTTACTGTTAGTACCATCACATCCACTTAATATAAACATGGACTGCCTTTTCATATATTTTTTTTTTAAATTAACGTGGGTGTCATGGTATTGTAATTACTAACAAAAACCCAGAGTATGAGTTAGCTTCCAGCCCTATAATCAACCTGAAAAGCGTTGGATTTAATTCACACACTTTTCTAGTAGAAATTGGGTTCAACTTATGACTGTATTTAGGAATGGTCAAAGACAAACATGTCATCACCTAACTTGAAGTTAGGCACGGTTGTATCCCTGACCCAACAAGGGATTGGGAGCAAACGCATCCCTAGCCTGAGCTAGACACAGATGTACCCTTACTCACCTTGGAGTTGGGCGCAGACATGCCATGACTCAATGTGGAGTTGAGCAAGCTTCTATAAAGATAGAAAAGAAAAAGGAGATAAAATGTAGAATTAAAAAATAAACAAAAAATGTATTTTTGTTCTAAAGTATAAGGTTTTAAACCTCTTTCTGTATATTCCACTCATTTTTTATATTACTTAATTTGACCTGCTTCATACAACATAAAAGAGGTAGAGATATAATCTTATAATAGTAAAAATAATATTATTTTACTGTTAGTACCATCACATCCACTTAATATAAACATGGACTGCCTTTTCATATATTTTTTTTTTTGGTGTTGTGATAACCTTTTTTTTTTTTAGATTAACGTGGGTGTCCGGGCCAGCTTGCGCTAATCCCACGGGCCCTGAAGTTACCGACCATGTAAGCCTCTAGTGGCCATTATATGAGTAACCAAAGACTCGAACCTGAGACCACAGAGGGAGCAAACTCCTTGATCCCAAGTCCTTACCACTTGCTTTTTCATATTTAATATGATATGATATGGTATTGTAATTACTAACAAAAACCCAGAGTATGAGTTAGCTTCCAGCCCTATAATCAACCTGAAAAGCGTTGGATTTAATTCACACACTTTTCTAGTAGAAATTGGGTTCAACTTATGACTGTATTTAGGAATGGTCAAGGACGAACATGTCATCACCTAACTTGAAGTTAGGCACGGTTGTATCCCTGACCCAATAGGGGATTGGGAGCGAACGCATCCCTAGCCTGAGCTGGACATAGATGTACCCTTACTCATCTTGGAGTTGGGCGCGGACATGCCATGACTCAATGTGGAGTTGAGAGGGACGCGTCCCTAGCCCAGCATTGGGCTGGGCATAAATGCATTCCTGGTTCATTATAGGGTTGGGCGCAAATATACTCTTATTTTTGGAGTTGGGCGCATGCATGTCATGGTCTAATTTAGAGCTAAAAACATAAAAAAAAAATTATAACTCTATTTTAATTTGTGACTTTGACCTTTTAAATAGGATTGGTTTATAGATACCATGCCCATCAATTTGAAATCAAAATATACACTTAAATTAAGAGTATTTTAATCAATAAAGATTTAATTGAATTACATAGGAAATCAGCTTTTGACGGAACATATAAATATAATAGAATGGTTGGATCCATAAAAAAAATTGTATAAGAAAAAATTATAAAAAAAATAAAATTATAATTGCAAAATATGTCATTAGTCGACTTTTATTGGTAAAACATAATGATTTTTTTTTTGTTAAAACTGTGTTTTATATTTTTTCTTAAGAAAAAAATTCTTGAAGTTAATTATTTGATATTTTTTTGTTATTTTGATATATTAATGTTAAAAATAATTTTAATATATTTTTAAATAAAAAATATTTTAAAAATACAACCACTTAATGCTCTGTTAAGTAGAAAAATAACAGGAATGGCATAAACCTTGGCGAAGTTTTTTTTTTTTTTTAAGGTGAAGTCCATAAAAAAGTTAGTTGAAGGGCTCAATCCATAAATTTAACAAGAGTTAAAATCAGAGGGGCAAATCACAGAGGTCATTTTATGATAAAAGAATTTCTTGTTTGTCGGTTCCTCATGCTCATGTTCGTAGTTTCTCAACCTTTCCCGTTGCCATAACTCTTTAGGTTCGTATTTATTAAAAACTAATCAAAGGTTTATATTTCGGAGTTAGCTTTGACGATGGTGGATGTTAAATAAAATCAAATTAAACTCTTAATTTTTTTTTATATATATTAAAAATATTTTTCACTATTTATGTTAACAGTAAATGATAAATCAATTTATTGTTTATATAAACATAAAAAATAAATTAATTTACTCTCCACTGAACTATAGAAAAGTAATTTAATTTACTTTTTATTGTTTTATTTTGTAAAACATAGAATTTGCAATTTTGAAAGTAGCTTGAGATTATTTTTGTTATCTTGCAGTTATATATTGAAAATATTTTTCACTATTTACTATTTATATGAGCAGTAAAAAATAAATTAATTCACTCTTTATTGGACTATAAAAAAGTAAATTAATTTACTTTTTTATTGTTTTATTTTTTAAAACATAGAATTTGCAATTTTGAAAGTAGCTTGAGATTATTTTTGTTACCTTGCAGTTAAACATAAATATTAATAGATCTCACAAATAATAATTTATATTTAGCACGTAACCAAACAATTTATTTTTATATATACTCTAAAAGCAGAAGCAGGCACGGAAACACTATAGAATCCCTAGAATTTCTAAGCGACACCAATCTACCAGCCACAAATCAAGTTTTGGCAGCCTGATTATCAAGCTTGAGATATCAGCCTGAAATGATGTTGCAGATTATCTCAACTAATGCAAATCTACGAGCAGCTTTCGATATTCCAGAGTGCAGTTGACAGGAAACTTCTTCAGAAATTACAGATCTGAATCTCGGAGATGAGCCAGTTTCAACGATGGCATCGATTATGAAACTTCTTCAGGAATTACAGATATCATAAGCACTGCAGTGTCCTAAAGAGCATGCTTGTCAGCCACCAGGCTCTGCTGGACAAATAGATAAAGCTTATATTGAATTCTAGCCTGCTTGGTGCGAAGAAAAACATTGATTATAGTCTAATAAAACCAAAAGCATCTTCAAATTCAACTGACCCTTGCAATGATTTACAGGAGATCTGTTAAATCAAAATGGGCTAATTTCTTGTGATTTGCTGATTGCAATGGCACAAGCATAACAACAAAAATCTTGGTAATTTGTGCACTTCCTGCAAGATAGCCCAGACAACGGTTGTGAATTCCAGTAAAAAGTGTCCCTCGGTTCTTGTGAATAATTTTTAGAAAACAACATGCATCACATACACGAGTAACTATAAGGTTCCAGGACAGAATAATTTCAAAATATTTCAACAGAATAGAGGAGAATGTGGCCTATGCTTCCTCCAATCATCATCCTCGAGTAACAAAACATGAATCTTCACCTGGCTGGAAAAAAAAGAACAGAGGCATTTTCAGAGATGAAAGCGAGCAGAAAAGGAACAAGGAGGGAGGAAAGATGTAGGAAAGTGGCGCTGGAAATCTGAAATCTTCAACCTCTTTCAAGATGAGCATAAAAAAAAAGAAGTTCTTCCTGAACACGATTACAAAAAAATCTTTAGATATGTTTGGAATTGTGGTAGGTTGATAACTATAATAGTTTAAAGTGTTTTTTAATTAAAAATAAATTAAAAAATATATTTATATCAACGTATTAAAATAATATAAAAGTATAATTTTTTTTTATACTTTTTTATTTTAAACAAAACAATTCAAAATTTAAGGAAATACGATTTACATCATGTTACATATACTTCAATCTCAAACTACACTGTTGTGATTAGCATAACCCACTCTTTTTATTAAAATTTAAAATTGGTTTTATTAAAAAATCTAAATTGATTTTCATTGATTATTAGATTTTTTTATTTTTTTATGATTTTTTTTTAGATTTTATTTTTTAATATCGAGATGATTGAGAATTTGATTTTATAATTTTTATATTTTGTATTTTTATGAAATTAGCATGGTTTATAAATTTATTAGAATAACTTAAATTATTTGAGTTTATGAGTTTGGTAAAGTATTTTTTATTTTTAATTGAATTCGGTAATCCATAATGTTTTGCTAAGTAATATTAGAGTCCATAACTCAAAATCGATTCAATTTACTATTGTTTTAATACTTTTTTTTAAATTATTATTTTAAATTTTTTTACAAGTTAAATTATTTACTAATTATTAAAATTATAATGGAGCTCTTAAATTTAATTGTTTTAATTTGCACTAGTTTTCATGTGATTTATTTGAAAATTCAAGTTAGATAAAAACTTAAATATTCAATTTGAGTTAGATAAAAGGATAAATAGAGGTTCACTTGATCAAATTTAATAATATTATTAAGAAATTCTTTATAATTTTAATAAAATTTTTATATTTAGAAAAATTAGAAGGCCTCAAAACAGAATGCATGCCAAAGAACTTCTAGAACCGTAATCGAGAATGGAAGAAATTGTAAATTTGTTTTTACTGTTATTTGTGTTATACTAATAACACAGAGGTAATTTTATTAATTTTGATCATACGAAATATAAAATATAATTTTTTAAACAAAATATAATTGGATAAAACCTAAGAAGTTTTTTTTTTATAGTTATCTATACAAACCTTTACAAGTGATAATAATTATAAATCAACTTTGTTAGAGCTGATTAGGTTTAAAAATGTTACTAAAACCGAATCAGAGCTCAAATAGAGGAAGGTGTCAGACTCCCTTGTTCACTGATTCAACACCCACGAAGATAATTTTTTTTTTTCTCAATCAAAACCCAGTGCATGGCCTTGAACCGCTTCAACCCAGTTCTAGGCCAATTCAGTTCGATTCAAGCTAGTTTTATCAAGTTAATTGCGTTAGTGATCCATGCCCCTGAACCGGACCCGTCTAAAGTCCGGCTTACGAGTTGGACTGGCCGGTCCAGTTTGATTATTGTAACAAAGCTCTAAACTCCAGAATGAGAATCCGACCGCAAGGGAAGGCTTTTCATGTCTTTTCACATTTCTCAAGCAACAATTGAAAAAAACTGGGTAATCTTTAAAATACTTTCCAACCAGAAGAGGAGGGCACTTCATTTCGTCTCGCTCTAAGCAATCACAAATCACTTCACCATCAAAACCCTAAAAAAATGTCGGGCGGGTTTTTCAGGGTAAACTCCATTCCTTTCAGATCCGAATACGAATTTGCAGTTTTCAGATCTTGAAATTCGATTTGTTGTTTGTTTGTGTTTAGGGCACTTCTGCTGATCAAGACACTCGGTTCTCCAACAAGCAAGCGAAGCTTTTGAAATCACAGAAGTTCGCTCCTGAACTGGACCATCTGGTTCGTTTTATCTTCTCAATTGAGTTGCTGAATTCTTGAGATTGCAATTATTTCATTCATGCCTTTTTTTTTAATTTTAAATTTCTAGGTTAACACCAGGAAAGTGAAGATGGATATTATTAAACCATGGATTGCTAACAGAGTGACGGAGCTTCTGGGGTTTGAAGATGAAGTTCTTATCAACTTTGTTTACGGTTTGCTCGATGGAAAGGTATTATTAATTTTCTGCCTATATATTTTATTTTTCTGAAAGAGTTGATGTTTCACCGTGCATCCCAATGAACTAGGGATATGATGGTTCACGATGAACTACTGTTGAGAGTTTGTATGGTGTTATGCGTTTTGTTAGTTTTAGATAGTCAAGTGTGGTTTAGTTATCACTTGTTTTTTGTGTGCTTGTGTTGATGCAGGAAGTGAATGGGAAGGAAGTTCAAATATCGCTGACAGGATTCATGGAGAAAAACACTGGGAAGTTTATGAAAGAGCTTTGGACACTTCTTCTTAGTGCGGGGAAGAATGAAAGCGGCGTTCCTCAACAGTTTTTGGATGCCAAAGAAGAAGAAACACGGAAGAAGCAGGTTTGAAATGCTTTTCAAGTCATGATGGTGTGACATTCAATATTGGAATTGATCTTTCCTAACTGTGTTAACCTGGACTATTGCAGGCAGAGGTGGATAGGATAGCAAATGAAATCCAAAAGAAGAAAGTGAAAGAGGAGGAGAGTAGAGAACTTGAGAGGGAAAGATCAAAGAAGATGGTAATACTTGCTTATTCATGCTGGAGTTAGATTTCATAGAATTGAGTTTTTGGTTTTAACTTTAGTTTGTGTTTTCGTGGTACTCAGCTAGCTTCTGCAATTATTTGGGTTCATGTCCTTTACCTCAAACTACTGTAGGACGATGAGGTTGAAAAGAAAGCTAATAATGCTATGGAGCCAGCTTCAAAGCATATGCTGCCTAAGGGTTCAAGTGGCCGTGCTGAGGATGAAAAAGACACTGGCACGAGGAATGGTGCAAAAGGAAGGAAAGGGTTAGGATTTTTATTTTATCTTTTTAATTTTTTTCTGAGGGAGCTGGATAGGAATTGATTTTTAAGATTTATCATGTTATTGCCAACTCTTCAATCTTACAAATTTATATCAGAAAATATTGCATTAATGTGGGCTTTAACCCTATCTATGTAGGTAAATCTCTGTACAAGTTGTTATCGGGATGTGATTCCGGAGTATGTTAAATGAGTGCTCATCTTATATACAGGAAGATCAGCTGAATAGTACATTTCATGAGTATTTTATTTCGTTGGTACTTTATGATTGAATTGTTTCTCATTTATGCATGAATTGTTTCTCATTTATGCCCTCCTTTTGTGTTAGTAGTGGCTTTATAGGGTGTCCTACATTGTTCTTAATGAGCCTAGGGTGAAAAAACAATGCAAATTAGCAACAACTTAGAATTGTGCTTAGTTTAAAATGTTGTTGGATGCTTCATGGGGCACAGGCACTTGATTGCATCTTCCTTGTTGGATCTAGGAACCTATCCTGAGATACATATGCAAGGTTCATTAATGCTAACACCAAAACATAAATCTTGGTGGTTTCTATAGATCAGTGTTTCAGGATGATGTCAGATGCCATTTGAAGTGCAATTTTGTGTCTCAGTTGCTGTCATTGACATTGAATAATGAATATGAATTGGTGGGGACTTCAACACTCTAGTTGAATGGTTTATGCACTGCAGCTGCCCCATACCCGGGGCAACTATTTGTCCTTGCTTATACACAGGGAAGACCACAGAGCTTCCTACCTCCTCACACCTTTTAGGGCTTTGACCACCGCACTTGGGCATCTTGCTGTTTTCAAAATGAGAACAGTTGTTTGGATGGCATAGTCAAAGCAATCCAACATTGATTTAAGTAGAAGATTTCTAATGTAAAACAATTATATGTTTGTTAAAATACCCTTCAATGGTGATGAAAAAATTATGTTTAACTAACTAGTTGAAAGAAACTGAAATCAAGCATTGACATTCTTTTTAGCCATTAGGAATTTTTCCAAAAAAAAAGGGGTGAATTCTTTCTTGTCTTAGCATTAGTGTTAGATGAGATGTAATTTGCATGTGTATTGATTTTTTTTTTTTTGAAGAGTAGAGTTGTGAAATACTAGTGATAAAACTTCTACATGTTTTATAGGTCTCGTCGTTCGATTGATCATTCATTTTCATCCCCTATGTAATATTCCTTGCCTGTAACATTTGATCATGCTTCTTGGCTCGCATCTAGAGGACAATCTAGCTTACCAATAACTTGGGCCGTCTTGTGCAGAGGTTCAACTTCTAGGATCAGCAGGTCGGTTTCAAATTCAAGAAGTCATTCGGGGTATGTATTTTATGCAGCAGAATTAGTATTATAGTCTTATCATTTAATTACTTGGATTTGAAGTTTTTATTCCTTTTTTGGTCATGTTGTGTAGGTGTTAGGGAACATGCCACATGCAAACATTTCTAAATATAACAATAAAATGGAGTGAATGAGTTACCTTTATCTTTGGTTGATTGACTGTTATTCCTTTTCATTTTTTTGATACATAGCACTTTGACTTTATTTATGCATACCTTAATGACAGGCATAAGTCCAGAAGTGTGTCTAGATCACCTGAAGCTCAAGGACGACGCTCCATGTCTTCTGATAGGGTGTATCGCTCACCAAGAAGGCGCTCAATTACCCCTCCTCGGAGGAGATCATCATACTCTAAGCATACTTTTAGACACAGGTCACCATCCCCTGTACGACGTAGATTGCGTTCTCCCTTTCGACGTAGGTCACCTTCACCCTTGCATGATAGATCCCTATCACCTGTTCGACGTCGTAGGTCACCATCACCTGTTCGACGTCGCAGATCTCCTTCGCCTGTTCGACACTGCAGATCTCCTTCGCCTGTTCGACACCGCAGATCTCCTTCGCCTGTTCGACGTCGCAGATCTCCTTCGCCTATTCAACACAGCAGATCTCCTTCACCTGTTCGGCACCGCAGATCTCCTTCGCTTATTCGACGTCGCAAATATCCTTCACCTATTCGTCATGGCAGATCTCCTTTACTTGTTAGGCATCGAAGGTCACCTTCCCTTGGGCGTCACATATCACCTTCATTTGTGAGCCGCGGATCACCTTCACCTATACGTCGCAAATCATCCCCTTTCATGCGACGCAAATCACCATCTCCTGTACGTCGAAGGTATCAAAGGTCTCCGTCTACTCCTCACCACATGTCTCCTCCCATACGGCACAGGTCATCTGTCATTTCACGCAAGAGATCTCCATCTCCTTCTCTCCATCGATCTCCTTTGCCTCACGAATCAAGCTCTCAAGCTCCTGAACAACATAGGTCTCCTTCTCAAGGGAGATCTCCAAAGGAACTCAAGAGATCACCCATACAGTCCCTTGGAGAAAGAGTCAGGTACTTTTATCTCCATAGTGAGAACCACCTCTTAATTTACTTTGTTTACATTCAAAATCAAATTGGTAATAGTATGAAAAGTTATGTTACAGATCACAACAAACATTGTTGCCTGTTCCGCAACGCCCCTCCAGTTCTTTTAGGTCACAACAAAGATATCAAAAGGATCAAAAAGATTTACACGCTAGATTGCCACCTTTATCTCCTTCTCCAGAGAGGTCTCCACCATTTGGAAGGAAGAGGAGTGCCAGCGAAGATAGAAGGTGATTTGTTTTCAGTGAAAAATTTAGCATTAAGTTACCTGGAGAATTCTGATCACTTGTGCTGATATTGGATGCACATGTTTACACATTTTTGGTTGCTAATGAAGGTCCCCTAGTCCATATGAGAGTCCTGCCAGGCAAAGAAGAGAGCGAGTCACACCTGATGGTAGCTTGAGTCCTCTGCAACAAAGAGTGAGGAAACCACTTAAGGATAGTCCAGAATCTGGCAAAGACCATGAAGAAACTGGCTATACTCGGTAAGGTTTAGAATTAAACATTTTCTGTTCCTTCTTGAAGCTGTTTTGTGATTGCGTGTTGAATGTTTTGATTTGTTTTTTGCCTTTAATGGTGGCTCTGTTTTTTAGGGAGGGCGGGGACTATAATTCTACATCCTCACATAAACGACCTTTGTATCCATCTAACATGGAAAAGCAGAGAGACCCCCCTTTGAAGTTTCACTACAAGGATGAGCAATCTCTTGAAAGATTAGCTAGTCATCAGACCACCGATTCCCGAAACTATCCAGATAACATGGACTCGAGGAAGAAAGACCAGGATATAAAGATGTATATATTTCCTGGCTCAAAATCTTTTCTTCTTCTACTCCCTCAGTTGTGGGCATACATTAACTAACCTATTGTTCTGATGTCTCTCACATTCCTTACAGTGGGAAGTCTTCTAGGAGAGGTGGTGATCAAGAAACTCTTGATGCACAAAAGTCTCCATCTTTGTATAAGAATGAGAAAGACCGCTCATGCTTAAACCATGTTAAGGATAGCGACAAATGCCGGAAATCAGAAACTGTGCCAGTGACAGCTGAAAAAGTGCATCATAGTAATGGCAGTGGTGCATTGGATTCTGGTTCTGAGGAAAGTGGTAAGCACAGAGGAGAGAAGAGGGAAAAGTCAAAGCATAAAAGGTCACATCGACATGAAGTGGCTTTGGATGATGATGGCAGCCATGGTTCTGAAATTGCAGAGAGAAAAGAGACTAAAAGGAGGAGGAGGGAGGAAAAGAAGTTGCGAAAGGAGGAGAAGCGTAGACGGCATGAAGAGCGACGCCGTAGGAGAGCGGAACGGCGTGCGGAGAAGCTAAAATTGAAGGGTCGTGATGATGCTAGCTCTTCTGATGATGAACATGTTGGGAGGAGGGAGTCTCATCCAAGTGATGATGAAGAGACAGAGTCTGATCAGAGAAGACTTGAGATTGAGTTACGGAAGAAGGCTCTTGAATCACTTAAAGCAAAGAAGGGCACCAGTCACTGAATCTGTTACAGGCATTGAACTTCAAGCTCTTTTTTTTTTACTTTAGTCATGTTAAGTTGTTCTTTATATTTGCTAGGAGCTTTTGCTTTGAATGGGAGCTCTTTTATATGTTGGTAACGATTTGATGTAGTCTTTGTTTCTTACTGGTACCTGAAATGGATAAATGAGGATTTTCTGAGCTATTCTCTCGAGTAAAACCTTTAAGCAGAAGACCTTGCTGCTAGTTTTTCTGGTAATAGATGTTCTCCCATGGATGGGAATATTAACAGTGACATGGATGTTCAAGACGCATATTTGCGAATGCATCATTTCTGTAACGGCGCAGCCGTTTTCTCTTTTAATTTATTACATTTAATCATGAAAATACTTCTTTTCAGCTTCTGTGGGACAATGTGATTGCTACTACTTAAGTGACGTTATTTCTTAGGATGGAAAGGGAACCAACAGGTTATCTCAACTTAATTAAGAAGAGGTTGATACTGAATGGGCTTTTTGGTCAGTTTAAAGATGAATTATTGTCAATTAGGGTGAGCATAAGTAGGGTGATTATTTTTGATGTGGTTTAATTTTAGATTAAAACAAATAATTAAATTAAAAATTGTTTTTCAAGTTTTTGATTTTTTCCATTTTCAAATCAATTTAAATTGCAATTATTTCTAGGTTTTTTCATTGATCATATTTTTCAGGAATTCTATTTTATCTTGTTTCTATTTTCACATCTCTTTGCTTATTTTTTGAGAAATCTTGGCTTTCTCAATAAGCATGACTTTTTCTTAGACTAGTTAGGCATGCATGAGGTGTAAAAATTCAACCTTAATTCTTTTTTTGTTAGATTCTTGTCCATTATGTGACTGATATTTTTATATTCGGCTCTTCAATAAATAACTAAACCTGATTTTCAATTATTGTCCTCGTAAGACCAATATCAAGAAGAGCACAAAAAAACATTTTATTGGTTTAACATAACAATCTTTTTCGGTTACATGTGCATGAAAAATTTTATAATAATTACAAGATTATGTGAGATATAAAAAGAAAGATAGAAAAAATTTAAAGCAAAAATAAAGAGAGGCGTGCCTTTGATAAAAGGATTGAGAAGCATGGAGCAGGAGCTTAAAAATTGTGGACTGTGGATCATAGAGGAAAATCAGAAAAAAGAGAGATGCAAGGAGCAAAGGGAGGCTGTTGGCTGATTTTGTTTTTAAGGAATGCTAATTTAGGTTTGGGGTTAGAAAAAATATATCCTATTTATACTTGTATTTTTAAGTGTTGGCCTGGTTGGATTGATTCAGTTTGGTTCGGTTCAATCGCTTTCAGACTTTAAAAACTAAATTAGAACTTTTTTATGATTTTTAATTAGTTAATTTTTTTTTTGGTTTTTTCAGTTTTCTCAGTTTAATCGGTTGTTTGATTTTTTTACTCACCCTTTTTATCAACTAGATGACTTGCTTGAGCAAACCGTGTGTAGAACAACATTTAAACAAGTTTCAAGAGAACTTTTTCCATTTTGTATTAGTATATTATCCTGTGTTTTTAAATGTAAATAAAATATTAAGAGTATAAAGATTTTTTTTAATAGTATCATTAAACCTAACGAAGTGAATTAATTTTAAAACCTCTCAATTCAACTCTTTGTCTAACTCAAGTTTTTAATTAAATTGTGTGAGAGCTAACTCTAATTGAAAGAAATATTGTTCGGTAATTGGATCATATATGGAGCTGTAGATCTTGGATTTAGATTTATTTTATATGGTTGGAAAGGTTAGACGTAGCCCTATAACTTTCATGTAGAGGTTTGGTTTTGAAAAGGCTATTTTCAAGTCCAAATTGTAGCAACAACGAAGAAGTCCGAATCTGTCCTGCAGTCTAAACACTGTTCACTGTTCAGCCCATATCTTGAGTTCTAGAAGTCCAAATGACCTTAATTTTTTTTTTCTGAAAAGATGAGATAATTTCTTAGAACTTTAATGTGGAGGTCTAGTTCAAATTCTAACTTTATCCATGATGTTTTATTCAGACAAGAGGAGATAAGGATTGTCACCAAGTCAATAATTGACCATCCACTCATTAATTAGTCATCAAATCAATAGTTTCTAATTGTGGCCTATAAAAGGAGGTATTTGCCATGCATTTAGGCATCTTGGTTTCCAGATCAAGATCATGTTCTTGCTTTCTCTTTTTGTATTTTTGCAATGCTTAAGTTTTGCTTTAATTAATATCTTGTTTATGCATTTTATTTCCTTTTCTTTCCTTAGTTAACTTTTATTTTATTTATATTTCTATCTTTCATTATGTTTAGCTAATTTTATTATGTCAGGGTGAAAGGTTACACTAATGGTATAAGAATAAGTATAGTGTAAACTCAATATGGACTTTAATGTTTGATACTAATATTTTTTATATTTAATATCTTATTCACTCTTTAATACTTTGCTTGTTAAATGATTAATCTAGATTTATGTTGTATAACACTTGGTACAACAAATGCTTGGCACTTTTATAGCCCAACCATATGGTATAACCTATACCTATGCTATGAAAGAAACTTGATTTGTTGTTAACATAAGTTATAATCATGAATGCCTGATAATATTTACAAGTACTAACATTATTCGAATAAGATAACTAATGTAATCATGTTAACAATTTATAATCTGATTAAAACCTCCTTTGTGTATAGTTTACATTTGAGTAATAAGAGTTTATACTATACTTGTTTGAAATACCATTAGTGAAACCTCTAACGTTGATATTTGTTGTTATCATTATTTAATCCTCACATTGATCTTCCATCTCAAAGTTCTCATCAATTTCTTATTATTATTATTATTATTATTCTTCTACTACTACTACTACTAGTATTATTATTATTACTATTAGTATTATTATTGGTATTAGTATTAGTATTATTGTTATTGTTATTGTTGTTTATAATTTATATAATTAACCTCCTTGTGGTTTGACTTCGGTCTTACCGGGTTATTTATTACTTCGACACTCTTACACTTAGGAGAAGACATCAATCTTTTGGTAGTGTTAACAACCCCCATAACTTGACTACCTCTTAAAAATATAGCTATTGACACTGGCCCCATTAACCCAAGGCTACTCTCCCATACATTAAATGAATCTTTCTCTCAGCTAGTACTTGACCAAGATGATTTGTTGATTTTGAAAACTATATTTCCTTCCCAGGATTGGATCCATAAAAAACACAAATGTTTCTTATTTACCAACAGAAAAAAAAATTATCGATGAAAGATTCACCGACGGAGCATTTTCATTGGTGATTTCGTTGGTAAATTAATTAATGACAGAATATATATCTTATGCTGACAGAAAAATTTTATCGGTAAAACTGTTAAATGTTGTAGTGAAGTCCTTGTGCGATGGTTTAACACGCACACACACACACACACATACCCATTTTTACCCAGAATGTCATGCTTAGATGATGATGTGGGTTTGACTTGTTTTCAGGCCCAACATCCTTGAGTTTAGGTATATACTAAGTCTAAATACATGTGTGTCTAGTGACACGATTAAAAAATTGATGTCTTCTCCCAAGTGTAAGAGTGTCGAAGTAATAAATAACCCAGCAAGACGAGGGTCGAACCACAAGGAGGTTAACTATAATAATAATAATAAGTTAAACAGGATTTTGAGATGTAAGATTAATGTGAAAATTAATCAAAGATAAAAACAGTTATCAAGGTAAGAGGATCCACTAATGGTATTTTAAATAAGTATAATATAAACTCTTTTTATTACTCAATTGAAAATCACACACAAAAGAGGTTCCAATCGGATGATTTTTTATTAATAGCTCATTATAAATTATTAACATGATCATATTAATTATCTTATTTAAGTAACACCAAACTTTTAAATATTTTCAGGAATTCATAATGCTAACTTATATTAATAACAAATTAAGTTTCTTTCATAACATAGATGTAAGTTATACCTTATGGTTAGTTATGAAAGTACCAAGCATTTGTTCTACCAAGTGTTATATAACAAAAATCTAGATTACTATTTAACAAGCAAGGTATTGAGAATTAATAAGATAAAAATTATAAGACATGTTAATAGCAAGTTATTTAGGATATAAGCATTAAAGTCCATATTGAGTTTATATTATACTTATCTTAATATCATTAGTGAAACCTTTTCATAATAACATAAAAACTTAGCAGTATTCTAGTTTGGACTGAATCACAATCTCTTTTCTAAGCTTAGCCTGCTATTTATCTTCTCAATTTCAGTACTTAAACTCATTAATTAATCCCTTAATTCATGTGATAGGCATACATTTAAAATAAATATTTACCATAAATTAAAGGTATCTTATATTATTAGATATGTTATTATAAAACATGCTTTAGTTAAGAAATTATTGATACTTAAAGTGCAAAATGATGATATAAAACCTTGATAAAAATGCACTTTTAAGTACTAATCATATAGTCTATACACAACTTTTATTAGAAAAGATTCAATGCATTAATCTAGGATGCAAATCCCAGTTGATTTGCAGCCAAATAATTGAAATGAGGAAACTACAATATTCTCATTGATTATGTGCTGATTCTAGTGATTTGCCAGCTGATCAGAGTACCCAAGATAAAGCAAAGTTTTTAAACAAAGTGAAGAACTTTTATTGGGATGACCCTAACTTATTCAAATACTGTCATGATTAAATATTTTAAAGATGCATTCTTGACAATGAGGTACTAGTGTCATTCAACTTTGTCATTTTGAAGCATGTGGAAGTTATTTCTCGTAAAAAAAGACAGCTATAAAAATCTTTCAAAATAGATTTTATTAGCCCACTATGTTAAAGGACACGTATGCATTCTGCAAAACTTGTGAAAATTGTCAAAAAGTTGATACTGGTCAAAAAGTTTTGTTTTATAATTCTCAACTC